AGGGCTGAGGAATCGGGGAATAGGGGTGACTTTTAACGTATCTTAAGGAAGACATGACTATCATGGCCGTGCATCTTAATGCGTGCCTGCAACGTACGGCCATGCTTCTATATTTGGATGGGATGGCCATAGCTACCATTTTCCCATGCATCACCCTTGCTACAAAGTAACCAACGGTAGGTTTGCATCATCCTGTTACCACCAAATATTAGTAGCCGGTTCACATGGTGGATGAAATGAGGGCACCTACTGCTGCCAATTTCAATTGTGCCGTACAACGTAGACACTAATGTAAAAGATGTAAATACCGATATAATAGCATGTAAAAATGTGACAAATTTTGATATTTCTTAATAATTGTGTCTTACAACTAATCTTGTTTGTCTAATTTCTAATCAAATTCATCCCTATCATTAATTGCATCTTACAATCCCTCATTGGATATCGGGTCGAGTGAGGTTAGAATTTTGAAGTTTTTCAACTATATGTTTTGAAGTATTTGATTGACGTGAAATTGTTGGCAAAATTATGTGCAAAATGTTGTAAAAGTAAAATATTTTCATTTTATGATTGTCTATGTATGCACTAAAAGAGATGTCGCCATCTTATCTCCTTCGCCTATTATCAAACGAATCTGATTCATATCTAACAGTTAGTGATTTGATCATTTTGTAAAGAGGCACACTTTACTACTAGTTTTCTCACTTTGCTCCATTGATTGGCACTGCACTTTTTTTTTTTTTTTTTGAAATATGATCTTTACTCTAATTCCAAGTGGAATTAGTTTCCATTCAATCAAAGTTAAAAAAAAAAGGATAATTTCATAAACCTCCCTCAAGGTTTCTAACAATTTCACCTAGTACCCTTGAGGTTTTCAACATTACGCGTACCTCCCTTGACCCTACAAAATGACCATAATTGCTTTAACATGTTAATATTTTTTTTTCATGCAATTAAACATTTCATTATTAATCTTGTTCATATGAATGCATCACACAATTAGACATTTAACAAAAATAAAATTCACTCGTGGAATAATCAATCATGTCCTAAACACAATAATAATGTATTAAAAATTAATTTTAGCTTTATTTGGAGGATCTAAAGATGAATAGAAGAATATGTAAATTGGGTTTAAAAAGGATAGGGCTGGTATTGATACTCCAATAGTTGAGAGATAGGATGTTATATTGATGTGATTATTAAAATTTTTTGAGTTTAACAAGACAAATTTTTAAATTTCGATTGAGGTTTTAGAATTTAGGGATTGATGGTGGTAGTGGTCGTGATGATAATAGTATTAATTTAAAATGTGGTAATATGAAAACGGTTAAAATAGTAGAGATGAGGGTTGAAAATGAGTTTAAAATTTTGCTTATGTTCCATAGTTTTTGAATAATTTTATAAGAAGGTAAAATGAACTTCACAATGTCATGAGGGCATTTTGGGTTATTCATTCAAAATTTTGACCATTAAATAGTTTTTGTTACGGAAACAGTAAACTCGGGGGAGATATATGCAATTTTTCAAATATCAAAGGAACTAGGTGAAATTGTTAAAAACCTCAAGGGAGGTTTCTGAAATTATCCCACAAAAAAACGAATGAAGGAAAGAAAAAGTAAACAACGTGCGAAGACAATGTACAAAATTTCTTGTGATTGGAAACTACGAAAAATGAGCAAATTCATATGAGTTTGACATGCAGCTTTCTTTTTAGTTGGACAGACGAATATATAATGTGTGTCATTTTCTCGTTAGTGGTGTTAGAAATATAATCATAAAGTTTCTATCTTAACTTGATTAAGACGCATAGGAGCCTAATTTAGATAGACTTCGATGATAAAGCGTTGATTACTCTTAAAATGGTATCACTTTAGATTTTTTTGCTTTTCCAAATAGGGAATCCATAATCGACACTGGATTTTATTCATCCATATTAGTTTCACGCCAGGGAAAATTTAAAAAAAAAAAAAAAAAGGGTTAGAAACCAGACTCTAATTTGTTAGTGTTGTACTGTTGTGGCTTTATGCATGTTAGATGTTTTCTCTAGTGAAACACATTAACCTAAATGAGGGTCCAGAGATAAGTCAGCATTTCTTTTTGGACTATTTCGAATCCAATTTAGTGGATTGAACAGTTGAATTAGTTGTTTCTGTTCTTTTCATAAAGGAAAGTGGCCAAGAAAGCATATCTGCCCTTTACAGGAAAAAGAAAGACTTGCATATACTTAGCTAGCCCCACTATTATGCATTGTTATTTCTTTCTTTTTTTTAAAAAAAAAAAAAAAACTAACATTCTTAATTCTAGCTTAAGAACAAAAGATTATGGAAAATACTGAGGGAAACTCGATTGAAAATCACGAACATAAGTACTATGCAAAAGATCTACGTCTCAACTATTTAATTTGTGATGGTAAAACCTTTTATTACTTATCTATGGATTTAGTGTATTTGAAAGTGTTCTAAAGATTATTAGCTATTGGTATCACCATAAAATCCGTCTTCTCATTTCTCCTTTTCAATTTCATTTCCTTGAATGTTTGGCATCTTCATTTGAGCATTATATATAAGAGTAAATTTTTTCTACACTGACGGTGTATACACTACCATTGTTGGATTCATAACATGTATGAAAAAATTGAATTTCAAATTCAAATTTTACATAGTTATCATTCATCTAACGCTGATAGAATATACACTGTCAGTGTTTAAGAGATTAATCCTATATATAATACGCTAACTTAAGTTTCTTCTTGTGCTGAAGTAGCTTCAAAAATGATACACATACCTACTAATTCTGCCAATGAAAAAGGCCTCGATCTGGTCGACAAGAATTAGCAAACCATGAAAAGCAGAAATTTAATTAAATTCCCGCCTAGTATAGTATTTTGAGTGAGCAACCTTTCAACCAAAATACAATGAGAAAATCAAGGAGTTGTCATGAGATATTCTCATCTAAAAGACTAAAGTCACTTTCTATGCCTTTTAGCTGCTTGTCCCTACAACAAACCAGATACATTAAGCCAAAACACCACCACGTACGTCTATCTTATCCATAAAATCCTAATGCAATCCAATCAAAATTCACCAAATAAGCCTGAAAATGACTGTCAAATTTACAATGGGCCTAATCTTTGACATAGACGTGAGCTTAAGAATTCCACAAGATTATGATGATGATGACGATGATGCTTCACATCAATTTTGAATTTCATGCACGTAATGCAAATTGTGGACGTCTTGATTTTGGGAAGGGTTTTAGCTGATATGAAGCCAAGATAAATCTGCGTCTTTATTCCCAAGATAAATCTGCATCCTTTGGGTTTTGCAGATTCGAATTGTTGAGAAGATTGGATGATATGTACATAGAGTTTGTCTACATGCATATTTAGCTCCTCTTCCTTTATAGTTTGTGACAATTATTGCTAAATAGTGTAAGACAGATTGAGAGAGCTTTTTATTTTTTCCAAAAAGAAAAAGAAAAAAGAAATTAGGAGCGTGAGATTTATCAGATCGAGAGAGTAGAGAAAGAATAGTGAAAGATGAGCATAGTAGTCGCATAGGCACATAATTAATTAATCGTTTTTTTTTCTATTTTCAAATATGTGTAGAGTTTTGTTTGAAATGTAGAGAACTCTTCTAAAAATGTAGAAAGCTTAACTCATTTGATCATAGTAAATATTTTTTGATTAATTTTTTGGTTAAGGATGTTTTAATAATATTGATCTAGAGAGATTATTCGAGCAACTAAATTATCAGGGTTTTCAATCCCCTGCTCTGGAATTTTACGAAATTGAAATCCATTTTTGCTGTCCCATCTCCAACTTTCCTCCTGCAACAACTCAAGGAAGAGGCCAACAGAATTTTTGTAAAATCTTTTTATTTTGTTTTTATTTTTTTTTCAACGCATAAAAGATAATTTCAGGATGCGAGCGTGAAATTGGTGTTGTGGGTGTTAAATTGCTTGGGTCAATGGGTCATGGTCCAATTAATCCTCCAAGACCAAAGCCCATTTCGTTACGCCTTATTTGGATACTTACAAGACCAAGCCCACCAATTCAGTTGCAAACAACATGGCCCATGGCTGAGTTGGATTTTGGTTGTTCAAGAGTTCAATATCAAACGTTTTCCTTCTATTTGTATTTCCTTTTCATTTCTTTATCATAGTCTAGACCATTTCTTTTTTTTTTTTTTCACATTTTCGACTTCCCAAAATTACCCCCATCAAACTTAGGGAGGTTTGTCATAAGGTTTAGACTTGAGTTTGTTTCTAGGCATAAGTACTTTCATTTAGAATAGATGCATCATGTCTATAGTATTCGTCATAGTGGTCTGAATAAAAGATTGATTCATTAGGATAATACTGTAGCATTTTTTGTGATGTGAAAACAATAAAGTAAAAGTGAATGAAAAAACTTGTTTATGATGTAATAATTTTTTTTTTATTTCAAAGATGTAATTATCCAATCCAAGTGCCTTCTTTAGTGGTGATCATCTGAAAAAATGGATAGAAATATATGTGGAAGAGTCCAATTTGTCTGTTATGCTCATTAATGAAAAAGGAAGAAAAACAAAGTCGAAGCCTGCAAAACAAAAATGAAAATTCTATAAATTCTATAGGATAACTACAAATAATTGACTTAGAGTCTATTAAGTTTGTTCATCACATTCAAAGTTTCTATAGTAGAATTTTGACAGTGCCACTTTGCTACTACAAACTTCTTGTAGCGTCCAAATCTGCATCGTATTGATAGCTAGAATCACATCACGTATTATCTTGGTCGACTACATTCTTTTGTAAAAAAAAAATATGTTTCCTTTTCTTTTATTTTTCTTTTTGAAATAAACTTGCTAGACATGTTAATGGCAAGGTTTTTCGCCTTTTTTCTTCTCTTAATGACAAAGTTCGCATGCTTAAACTGACGAATTATAAATCAGTTGTATTAGCTCCTCCATACTGCTATAAATTCAGATATTTTGCACCAATTAGGGAGGTTGATGTTATTTTTCAAACTAGAGGGGAGCTTTCTGCAATTAGTAAAACCTCATGGGAGGTACATGATATTGTCCCTTAAATATGGTGTCCCTTGAAGCCTCACACCAGCAATTATTTAGACACACTTCCTTGCCTAAAAATAGGGAAGCCAACAATTAATTGTGTTCCTAGACAAACACAATCTGTTATGCAAATTTTTGGTTTCCTGAGGTAGGAATTGCATAATGAGTGATGCGAATAACATCTTCTGGTCTAGCTGGTGGATGAGTCTTGTTCCGCATTCTCAAGGCTTGGTAATCCTGGTTTTTGAACCCTCTGTACTTCGGTTCCTCTCCAATCTCTTTAGTAAACTGTGGTAATGGTTCTACCCACTTTTCTCCAGGTAAATTATAGAAAAATGCAAAGGAATTTCGGCTTCTTCCTTTGGGACTTGCAACTCTATGCATTCCACTTTTGAACCTGTTATTCGTCAACACTTGTTATTAACGGCTTAATATCCCTACCAGCTAAGTAAAAAACAATGAAAATGTCAACTCAAATGGTAGAGGTACAAAGGTTAGGTTTAATTATTCCTATACTAATAGTGTATACACCGTCATTGTTGGATCTATAATATATGTACAAAAGTTGAATTTGCTAGCGTTGGATGAATGAGAACTATATAAAATTTGAATTTGAAATTCAATTTTTGCACATATATCATGAATCCAACGATGATGATCGTGTATACGCTATCAGTATATATAAGATTTACTCTAAAGGCTAACCCAATATAGAAGCCTTAATTACCTGAATCACGTCCGCCACATTGACCACTATTTTCCCTTCTTCAGGGATAACCGGAATCCATTCTCCATTGTATTGGACTTCCAGGCCGCTAACATCATCTTGTACAACAAAGGATATGCAGCTTCCATCCTCATGCTCTGATTGTCCTATATCCTCAGCTCCAACAGCTGCAAAGTAATGCATAGCCACCATTAAATCCCAGCTCCTATCATGATTGTACTCTTTGAGGAAGTTTGTTGGGAGTCCAAGACACTCATTTATGATGCTTTCCATCAGTTCACCAAGCTTGGAAAAGCAGATGAACATCTTTTCCAATGTTTCCCTACCAATGAAATGATGTCCAAAAAAAAAAAAAAAAAAAAAAAAACAACGTATTAGCATCTTGTTGGACTAGTTAGGGTGTTGTTAGAGTGACCCTTGTTTTCTCATTTTTGTATGTCCCAAAATATATGTAATTTTTAAATTGTCAAAGCACAAATTTTAAGGTTTTCTTATGGATGATATGTTGATATTCAAAATTTTCATTGAGAGCTTAATGTTGGAAAGACATTAACAATCATCCCTATCAACATGATCTTTAAAAGGTTGAATTCTGAAAAATTATCAAAATTTTCGGACAAAAGAAGTAATCAGAACTGGAAAGTAACGTCATGTATTGATAAAATAGTGTCCAATTACAATGCACGACCAAGGCATATAATGGGTTAAAAAGCAAGAAAATAATACTTTGGAAACACGTAAGATAATATAACTACAATAATGAAATCTATTAGATTAAGTCAATATTAAGGATATTAATAACTGATGTATTTATTAACAGCGTGAAATTTGCCTTTCAAGACTTTTTGGCGGCATAAAACAAATCTTGAAATGTTAATGTTCACATTTTTTTGAGTCTCTCTGAAATTTCCCATTAGATAATTTTAAGCAATCTCATTCATAATAATAATAATTTATTCTATCAAAAAAAACTCAAGATTGAAAAATATATGTATATTTGGAGGAATGGAAACAGAAATTACTTGCATTTTTGAAAAGCAATCCCATTAGATAATTTTAAGCAATCCCATTTTTTGTCAAGTAAATCGTACTAGAAAATTTTAAGCAATCTCATTCGTAATAATAATTTAAGCAATCCCATTTTTTAGCAAGCAAATTGTACTAAACAATTTTAAATCCATTCAAAATTAAAATTCCCATTAAATAATTTTAAGCAGTCTCATTCATCATCATCATCATCATCATAACAATAATAATAACAACAAGAATAATAATAATAACAATAATAATAACATGAATAATAATAGTAATAATTTATTCTATCAAAAAAATTGAAAAATATGTGTGTATTTGGAGGAATGGAAACAGAAATTACTTGAATTCTGGTGGATTGCTAGGCAGCACATTGAAGCTGGAGTCCGGTGGAAACATGATAATGAATTCATTCTTATCAGGTACGTTATGAGGCTGCTTGATGTAACCAGCAGGAAGAGGTACTCCAAATTTAGGACTACACTTGAGCTTCTCCTCATCTGGATACTTGAAGTATGTCTTTGAGAGTTGCATTGCTTTGCTTAAAAATTCTTGGGGTACCCCATGGTTGACGATGAGGAAAAAACCATATTCAGAGCAGGCCTTGCTAATTGTTTCTTTGGCTTTCTTTTTGCCATTCTCATCATTTTCTCCATTGAAGAAAGGGGAGAGATCAACTGTGGGAAAAACTTTGTTGGCCATTTTAGCTTCAAGTTGCTACAAAGTTCTTGTATGAGACTGACGGGTGATGGTTTCGGTGGAGAAGGATCTCAGGAGGAGTAGGTACCGGTGAAGGCAAGAAGAAGGAATAAACTGGTAACAACTTTTGGGGAGGAAAGAGAGAAGAAGTAAAGAAGGGATGCGGTGATGATGATAAGGATAGGACATAGGAGCAGAGAGTCAGAAGCGAGTACAGTGATAAGAGGGGGAGATTGGCACATAGTGGCGTGGCATAACTTGCACCACTCGGTTTACGCCCAAAGTTTTATTGATTTTATGATTTGACTTCTAGTATTACGAAAACTATTAATGCACTGCAATAGCATTTTATAATTTATAATTTCTGTCCTAATTCCAATATTATTTTTCAAATAAGTCCTTTAATTTAATTCCAAACTTGTTGAATATGTATTAAATTGTATAGATTGCTATTTGATTATATTACTTTATTTATGTTTCCTTGTAAAATATTTTAGAAACATCAAGCGTGCAAGAACATACCTTGAGATTATTATGCTTTCAGAAAATTTACATTGCATATTAATTTTTAAAATTAAACATATTTATGACATCATGATGATGTCATCTGATTCTTAAACTAATCTCCATCGAGCTGCTGTCCGGTCCAACTTTCAGAACATAGATTAAAAACTTCTTATAACAGTAAAGAGTAAAAAATCTACCTAGTCTCTAAACTATTGCCGTTGTTTACTTTTGACACCTCATCTAAATTTTGTTTCTGATTTGCCTTTGAACAATTAAAACTTCACACGTTAAGGACTTTCGGTGACTTTAGTCCTCAGAAATTGAAGCTTCGGGGACCAACATCAGAAATCCTAAAAATAGGTAACTTTTCAATTTCTTAAACACATCATTAGATTTTTTTTTCACATATCCTTTGAAAAATAGAGTTTTAACCATAAGAAAAAAGCCTTGCACCATGCCTAGCATGTGGGTTTTTTTTTTTCCAGCCATTTAAAGGTTTCACCGTCAAATCTTTTGGGTAAAACTCAGTTTTCAAAGGATTTGTGAAAAAAAATCTAATGGTGTACTTAAAAAATTGAAGAGTTACCTCTTTTTAGGATTTTTGATATTGGTCTCGATGCTTCAATTGTGAATGGACAAAAATATCATTTAACTCCGAACAAATTTAAGTCTAAAATCACTGAAAGTCCTTAAAATATGCAGTTTTAATTATTCAAAAGCAAATCGAAAATAAAATTTAAATTAGAGGTCAAGTGAACAATGATAATTGTTTAGAAACTCCCCAAGTTTTTTACCCTAATCCCCAAATAATTCCATCCTCGAAAACACAGCCCCAACAACTGAGATCCAACTAAACCTCAATGTCACACAGTTGGGACCTCAATATCACACAACTGAGATCCTCAACGTTTGACCAAAAAAAAAAGAAAAAGAAAGATCCTCAACGACCTATATGGGGCGGCAAAAACGTGAACGTGACACGAAGCTAATCACGGAAGCTGAGGTGGTTTGGCCGTTGACCAGGGATAATTGCATTGCAACCTACAAAGGGATACGGGGCAGGAGCGGTCCTCAGACGACCGCTCCTGAACGGTCTCCTCACAATAAAAAACGTGAGGAGACAAATGAGCCAAGTCAGCAAGGCTGAAGCAGGGCACAAAAACGATGCCGTTCCAAATAAAAAAATGTTGACTTCCAAACGGGAGCAGACGGAGCAAACGGAAGAGAATTGGTTTTTGAAATTCAAGTTGAAATTTTGAATTAGCCGCAGAAAACAAAACTGAGGGAAGCCAAATAATTAAATTGTGAAGGTAATCTACTCTGACCAACCACTCACTGAAGGCAGAAAGCTGAAGTTCAGGTGGGATTCAACCTACTGGGTGTTTCTAGGTGAAGTGGGTGTAGTCTACTCTGATGAAAGTAGCAATTGACAGAAAAATGGATGGAGAGGCAGGCGGCATGGAAGAAGCAAACAGAGATGAAGCCAAAGTTTGTCCGTAAAATTGAATAGCAGAAGCAGTTGTGGTCTCCAATTGGGTATAAGAGTGTTGTATGTATTCTGAATGCGTGCAAGAGCGGCGGTAAGGTAGAAGCAAATAGAGGAAATTCAGCATCTCACGAAACCAGATTTTGTCCTTCAACTTAATAGCAGAAGCAGCTACGTCTCCGACTTCGGTGAAACGTGAAGCGTATTAGCAGACCAAGGTAACATGACTGAACCATGTCAGTAATTGTGGCCAATAATTTGTCACCCAAATGCACATCTGTTAAAGGAAGGATGAAATTAGAGTCACTGAAGACATAATATGAAGATGATAGAAGAATAGTGAAGTTGTACTGTATTTGTATGTGTGTACCGTATCTGTGTTTGTGTGAGCATTCAGCTTTTCAGTGATGGACTATAATGAGATAGTAGTTTTTGGAAGACCTAGGGTTATGTATTCAAGTAAACCGTCGACTGGAATTAGGGAAAGATGAGAGAAACAAAGTCACATTTAACAAGTGAATGAATATACATGCTGTTGTAAATTAGTTACATGTTATAGCCACCGTATTACAATTGATATGAATCATTGTGCATTTAGTAATTGGTCCATGCTCATGGAGCAATATTAGTTTGCCCCTCTCCTGACCATATAGTGTGTGTAAAATGGAGGCGTAGAGTTGAATGAGATGAAACAGAGGAAAAGACACATATGTGAATAATAAATGGGTGAACCTTGTGTTGTAAGTCAATTACATGATGTAAGAAATATATTACAATGAGTAGAAAGTAGGGTTATGTATTCAAGTAAATCATCGGCTGGAATTAGGGAAAGATGAGAGAAACAAAGTCACATTTAACAAGTGAATGAATATACATCTTGTTGTAAATTAGTTACATGTTATAGCCACCGTATTACAATTGATATGAATTATTGTGCATCTAGTAATTGGTCCATGCTCATGGAGTAATATTAGTTTGCCCCTCTCCTGACCATACAGTTGTATAAAATAGAGGCATAGAGTTGAATGGGGTGAAACAGAGGAAAAGACACATATGTGAATAATAAATGGGTGAACCTTGTGTTGTAAGTCAATTACATGATGTAAGAAATATATTACAATGAGTAGAAAGTACTTGTTTGGCCCTCAAAATGTAGAAAAAGTAGAAAATGTGGAGTTGGTTTATGCGGTTGTCATTAACGAATGACATAAGGTCCAGTAAGCTAAAGAATCTAGAATCAAAATATAATCACCAGCGTGGATGTACATACAGTTCAAATAGACTTACAACGCGTGACCAATACATTACAGTCCGTATAAGTTAGTGTACATGGAGTTGTATTTGTACATAGATAATACCGTTGTCTTAGAGTAAAAGTAAGGTGATGTGAATCATTAATCATATTGATAAGCGTAATAATAGGATTTGGTATACGAGTAATGTGTGATTCATAACACATTATAAATGGTAATATACATTTATATTGTCGTTTATGTACATACTATTCATGAAATGTTGCAAATTAGGGTGTTTGATGCATAATTGGCAGGGGTAGAAGTAATGGATTGCAGCAAATTGGCAGAAAATGGGACCCCTGAATTAGGAATGGAGTTCAACAGTGAAGAGGATGCGTACAAGTTTTACAACAAGTATGCCTTTAAAATGGGTTTCAGTGTACGTAAAGACTATCTGAATAAAGACAAAGACGGCATGACCACGTCTAGGAGATATAGTTGCTGCAAGGAAGGTGTGAAACGCAAGTACGAAAGTGATGTGATGCCAAAGAGGACACGAGCGCCGACGAAAACAGGGTGTGGAGCTAAGATGGTTATCGTGTTGTTTAGAGGGACAATGAAGTACCGTGTGCATGACCTTGTCTTAGAGCATAATCATGAGTTGCACATTGCTCAATGTGCTCACATGATGCCATCACAAAGAAAAGTGAGTGTGACTCAAGGATTCCAAGCTGAAATAAGCGAGGATGCTGGGCTTTCATTGAAACAGAGCCATGAGCTTATGGGAACGGAAGCAGGTGGGATGGGTAATGTGGGATATACTCGGGATGATCTTAAACGATATCTTCGAACAAGACGGAAAAGGAGCTTGAAATATGGAGAAGCAAGTAGCATGCTGAATTATTTTCAAGAGCAAACACTCGAGAATCCATCATTCAGCTAGACTGTGAAGAACAAATAACGAATATCTTTTGGGCTGATGCAGGAATGTTAATTGACTACAACTTTTTTGGAGACGTAGTCACATTCGACACAACTTACAAAACAAATAAAGAATACCGGCCACTTGGAGTATTTGTGGGTTTTAACCAGCATAGGCAAATTGTGATATTCGGTGCTGCCCTTATGTATGATGAGACGATAGATTCTTTCAAATGGGTGTTTGGTACATTTTTAGAAGCAATGTGCGGAAAACATCCAAATACCATACTAACCGACCAAGATCACGCCATGGCAGCCGCTCTTTCAATTGTCATGCCTGAAACATTTCACGGTCTATGTACGTTTCACATAAGGCGTAATTTTATGAAACATCTTGGCAATCACTACAAGGAAAATAGTGATCTTCCATACATGTTTGGTGCCTGCATGTATGAGTTTGAAGAAGTGGAACAATTCAATAGGGTGTGGGAGGCGATGGTGAAGAAACACAATCTTGAAAATAATGAATGGCTCTCGGAGTTGTACAAAATTCGTGATAAATGGGCAAGGTGCATGATGAAAGAAAGATGGACCGCGGGAATGCGAAGCACCCAACTCAGCGAAAGCCTAAATGCAGCAATTAAAAATCATTTGAAACTGGATCATGACCTTGTGCAGTTCTTTAGACATTTCAATCGGGTGGTTGATGAAAAGAGATATAATGAACTGATCGCAGAATATGAAATGAGGCAAAAGCTCCCCATGGTAGGGTTAAGACAAACACCTATGCTTGTGCATGCATCAGAGACGTATTCACCAACCGTATTTGTTGCATTCCAAAATGAATATGGTGAGTCAACAGCTATGGTTATATTGAGACAACAAGATGCAGCGATGTTTGTGGAGTTTACGGTCATGAGGTATGATGGAGGACCTGAAAGAACAGTAGTATTCAATCGGAATGATCTAAGTGTACGTTGCAGTTGCAAAAAATACGAGAATGAAGGCATTTTATGTGGGCACGCGTTGAAGGTGTTTGATACCGTGGGCATAAAAATAATTCCTCCTGAATACATTAAGAGGCGATGGACAAAAAGAGCTCGGGCTGGAGATTGTTTTGATCGGCGAGGACAGGAAGTTGTGGCTGATCCTAAAGTCATGATTTCAACTCGTTATCGGGAGCTCGCTCCAGCCATGATTAAGGTCGCAACTCGAGCAGCAATGTCGGAGGACACCAGCAAAGTAGCAATCACTGTCATATCCGATTTGTCAAAGAGAGTTGAGCTCCTCCTCTCAGAAAGTGAAGAGCAACCTTTGCAAAATCAAAAAAATCTGAATATGGAGGAACGAGATAAAATTGAAATTGTAAATGAAATGGGGGAGGCAGTAGTCGCAAGAGGCATTAAAAAACGAGGCGGTGGGAAGAAAAGTAAAGTGATGCGAAGTTGGGTCGATAAATTTGACAGAGTAAAAAGAAAATCTAGATTATCAAGAACTACACAGACTACGGTATGGATCAAATTTTGGTACTTGGGGAACATTTATGCTAAAACTAAGTTATTGTTATACTATTAACTAAAGTTTAGGTAACATTCATTATGAAATAATATTATTGTCGTGTCAATACTGTAGGTCTCAGAATCGGAGCCGACATCGGTTTCATTTGAGGAATACATGTTTATGGGATGCCGTTCATCTACTGACTCTGTTTCGGTTAATATAAAATGGACATAACTCTTACTTTTATTTGGATGTTTCTAACAACATAAATAGTTGCATTGATGTTACATTGTGTGATAATGTTGTTACGGCCGTCATCCCTCCTGATATATGTATTTTGTTTGTCTTATACAATGATTTGGCCCATACGAAACTTGTAGACGCATTCAATGAGTCAGACAGTGAATGGCCCTCCAAATGTTGTTGCTCCCGATACCGATGAAAGTCAAACGGTATGCATGCATTTAGTAGTTAAAATAAAACCTTCTTGTTCATGTAGTAGAGCTACCTTTTTTTCTTTAATTGTAACGGTGGGCTCCCGAAGGCTGTCAAATCATGCAAATTATGTAGTTAACGTATGTTCGCTTTAATAACGTATTATTTTTTATTATTTCAAGATCCACCGTTTGGCTAATCAGGGGCCTCCTGCAAGTGTCCCTACAGAATGGATGCATCTCAGATTTTCTATTTTTTTCAAGCATAACTCCATCAGAGATGTCTTAATGGTCTGATATATCATTTTTGTTATAATGTCTAGTCCAATTTAACTTTATAAGTGAGCAATATAGGCACTGGTAATGATTTGTTGACAGTCGATTACTTATACTATATAATGTAGGAGGAGCGTGGGATAATTTCAACACACTGTGATGTTGATGCATATCATGTATTTGCACCATCACCTCAGGTGATAAACTTTTATCGTTACAGCACATATTTATGTAATGTTATTAATTGGAGACTTGGATATCGTATATCATTAATCGTATGTTTTATTAATAATATTTGCTGATTTGCCATCGTTACGCATTTCAGGGAAGAAATAACACACAGGGATTGCAACTACGCGTTGACGTCGCCTCCCCCCAAAATGAGGTTGATGAATGATGTGTAACTATACATTTTGAACGAGACATTAAGTGGTTATCCCAACTTGAGAATGCTGCATATGTACGTTACAAGCAGTTAATAAGCTGTTACAACTTGTTGACGAGATTATACAGGCACCATTGATGTTTCACTCTTTTCAAATTTAGACAAATGGATTACAATTGTAATCGCATCTAATGTTAGTAGTCATCAATAGTTTGTATTGGGTTGTATAAAATTGTTAGAAAATTATAAAGTTGGTAGAAAATTGAAGTAACAATTTTACAATAGAATTGAACGTATTTTTTGTGATCGGATATTTTTCACTAAATCGACCATAACAGTTGAATGGTTATCGTGATATGTATACCATTCTACTACATTCAATTGCATACCTTAATAACATATTTATTGGCATAGATCGCACCGCCAAAGGTACGATATATAGGATAACACAATCTAAAGTCTAAATTGTCTTGATTTTGTTATGATGATAAATTCGAATTATTATTTGGCTATTTTTATAAAATATTATTATTTAGGCCATTTGTTTTGCATCGCTTGACGAATTTAGTGCACCATTGACATGATATATCACAGGCACATCAATTGGTATTACAAGTTTTTAGGTTAATTAAATTATGGTCAAGTCAGGTCACGACCACATGTTGGTAATAGGTGCACATAAGAAAATGATTTCTTGGAGAACTAATTTATAACGTTAAAATGAAGTTTTACAATGCAACAAAAAAGGAAGAACGAACAGTACACAATGGATTACAACCAGTTAGGGATATGTTACTGTTACGTTACAACTAGTTACGACTGTTTAACAGGCATGATTAATATCCAAATATGGTAAGCAATTTGTTTGAATAGAGATTATAATGAGTATAGTTTTACCGCTACCCTAACAAACATTGAACTACATCCCTTGTTATCAGTTGTATCCCATACAACACCTGGGAACGCCGTCATGCATTAGACAATGGGGTATGTACCTTTGAAAGTCATCGTCGCTTGATTCAGTAAAGTCAGATAGGTCCGGATCAGATATAAGCATGGGATCTGCTAAAATGTGCTAAACATCAAATTGTTTTCCAATACCATGTTTTTTTGCGGCTTGGATCTTGTGAAACCTGTGAAGCCTACGCTTCATCTGCATAACTTCTCGCTGTAGTCTATGTAATACGCTTGCATCATTGGCTTGTGGTCCTATAATAAGATCCGCCGACCTTGTTCTCGGGACGCGGAGGCCATGCCAGCGACAAAGTACCTCTAATTCCATTTTTCGCTCACGAACAGGCTCCCATATGGGCTCATGGTTCATAACGGAATAACCAGACGGTAGATGATTATTGACGGTATTTTTAAAAATGTGACCAGCTAGTCCCAGAGAGTTGTTGGTGTTAAGCGGAGCATTCTTGAACTCGCGTTTGATACCATATAAAATCCTCTCGTCTGGTGTTTCGTACTGGCTGATGGCATTTGTTGGACCCAACGATACTTTCTGTCTTTTTTGCCGAACATTTGATGGTGAGCTTGTATGAGATCCTTCGTTTGTGGATTGCATGACTATGCTGATAGCTACTGCTTTTTGGTTGGATGAAAGAATGGATCTACTGATAAAGAAAAAGGTGGGAGAAAAAAAGAGGTAGAAATTTTTAACGGAGCACCTGTTTCAGACCATGCATAGTAAATGGTTTCTTCTGGCAACTTGACCAACTGCTTGCTGTGTCATTTCATGCTGTTCTCCACAGGATAGTACTCCTGGGTGAGTTGATGAAGCCATGACAACCACCTATTAACGAGAGAATAAACTCAACATTTGGTCAAATGTATAGTGTGTGGATGGAATAATGGTTCAATTCGATTGGATCATGACCTGTACTCCAACAACCATTGGGTCGTGAATACCCAGTTATACGTCAGTCACCTTACCTTTCAAGTGTAACAAGAAGTTGCAACCAGCATATGTACGTTACAAGAAATTAATAAGCTGTTACCGCTTATTGATGTGCTTGTACAGGCACCTTGTCATTTGCTTGTATGTTAAAACTTAGACAATTTGTTTATAATTGTATTAATGATAAGTATTACAGATTGTACTACAAGCACTTCAATAGGTAGTACTCCTTCAGTACAGAAATGAACTTACAATTGGCGGCTCGGCTTGGTTCCACGTGACCACATAATAAGTAACAGTTTCACAGAAGAACATGATACTTCGTTGGGACAAGTAATTTGAAAGTATGGTAACTAATATTTAAAATGCAACAAATTTTGATTACGCCATGTACCATTTTGAGTTACAACTAGTTATATATATGTTACAATTCATTACAACTAATAAATTTGCAATCGGTAGTTTTTCATCTTATCTACTTAAAACTAGTGATATTACAACTAGAAATTTCCTGATATTGCAACAAGTGATACTACAACTAGTTAATATCTGATGAACCTTTCCTCTTCTCTTGTTTGTGCAATTGCACTTGGCACAAACAACAAGTCCTCCCCCCAACACATAAAATTTCATTAGACACTTTAGTAAGTGTCTAATGAGAACATAAAGATGATCGATTCGAATCCCAAAACAATTGATGTAGCGGGGCCTTCTCGAACATCTCATTAAATTAGCGAGATCTTCTCGAACATCGTACAACCTACTGGCTGCTATTTGACAACCAAGAACTTGATTTTTGTGTGAACCCTCTATTGATGACACTGCAATTGAAGTTAGAGGCGGGTTGAAGAATAGTAATAATAAATTTCAGACACGAGTTCATTGCCACCCTTCAGTAGAATGATATGGGAAGTGTGAAGTAATTTAAAATGAAAAATGTTTGTGCAGTAATGAAAGGTGGACGAAAAAATTTTTGTTGTTGAGGGATATACTACTGCACCCGCGCCCTTTTATAGTCCGCCAACAAAGAACAATGTGCTAAAATATCACACTTCAATGCATTCCAGGGCAAACAATTTCGTCCTGGCAGTGGAAGCTGTAGAGTTCAATGCATGCCATTGAACTGTGTCACATCTGTTCAGACAATAAAACAAATTATGCAGCTTTTGTCATGAAATGACCTGTACACCAATATTAAGAGTCACGTGGATAAAGAGTTACACATCAGTGGCCTGTACATTTCACTATGTACGGATTGAATTACAACCAGTTGAGTGTATGTTACAATTAATTATAACTAATGAATTTGCAATCTGCAACTTTTCGTCTCCTCTATTTAAAACTGAATAATATTCCAACTAGATATTCCCTGATGTTACAATCTAGTGATAATACAACTAGTTAATATTCGATGAAACTTTCCTCTTCTTTTGTTTGTGCTATTGCCCTTGGCAGAAATGATAATTCCTCCCACTGACACATTAAATTTCTTAAACACTTTATTAAGTGTCTATTGGGAATAGTTACAATGATCGTTTCGAACCCCAAAACATTCGGTAGCGAGGCATTCTCGAATATCTCATTAAAATAGTGAGATCGACATTTTTGCATATGAAGCCAACTAGTATATCACGGGAGAAGAGACTGTAGACTCACATGCAGTGTTTGAACCATGTCAGATAAGTTTCGTTACATACAAAGCGTTAGATTTGTAGTACCGACAGTGAATATACGTGTTACGTGCTGTTTCTAATCGTTTACATGACAGCAATGTCGTCCCAAATGTGGAAGCATCATGATGGGTCACATGCTGCTACTGAATTATTTCAAATCAATTCAGACAATAAAATAAATTTTCCA